CCTTTATTCTCATGACCTTAATTTGTAATTCAGAAGTGTTAGTGTCAAGAGAAATTAGATGCTAGTCACTCTTGGGTGTTAAAGGGGTAAAGCAACACAGTGATGGAACACATCTTCTTTTTCTTGAGAAAGAGGTTTCTATAACTTTCCCAAAGTTTTAACCTCTATTCATAGGTAGCAAAGCATGTTACCATAAATGCAGAAATTACAATATTATACCTGTTTTCAACCTCTGGATGCCTCAGTATTTCATACAGAGTGAAGGACAACTGGTTAGATGTTGTTTCCTGACCTGCAATTGAAGGAAACGGTTATCATTAGACAGCAATAGAAATATAGCAACATCAATACTACACATGTGAACATTAAAAAATTGTGTCATGAGGCACATTCCTTAAATCAGATGCTACCAAAAATTCAAAGAATGGTACATTTTCTGTAAATTATTTGACAAAGGACTAGTGACACTTAGAAACAAGTGCCAAATCTTAGCATTTTAGTAACAGAAAGTTTGAGTTTTAAGCTTTAAGTTTTAAAATATAATTATGACATATAAAGATCCTATAGCATATCCTTTCTCTTGTTTCTTACAGCCTGTTAAGGCAGCCAGACTCATTCTTTTTTAATATCACTGTGGCAATGAAATGTCCAAATTATAATTTCAATTTACCAGGTATCTACTGTTGTTTCATAATCTTTAATTTTCCCAGATACCCTAAAATTAGATGTTTTACAGTCTCTTCAGTAAAAACAGGAAAGTTTTTTAAAGATGAAACATCAATAGTCTGTGCTAGGGGTTTTACTGTACATTAAATGGGAATAGAATCATATAAATGGAAAATATTTTCATCAAGCAAACTTGTTTGATTGAGTAGCAACTGTGTAAATATATATACACACAGTCACCTGCAACAAAAAATGTCACAAAATCATCCACAAGATCTTCATTTGTGATACTTGACTGCTTTTCCTTGACACTCAAAATGTGAGCCAGAATATCAAGTGGTGTATCTTCTCCTTGTAAAACAGCTCCCTGTCTATCAAGGATCACCTTCTTTCCAAAGTTACGGATGAATTTAGCTGCCTCAATCACACTTCTTTGATAAGCATATGTTGATAAAGATATTCTCCAGAATGGAGTTCGCAAACTTTCCAGGACCCCTTTAAGACATTTATAAATGGAGGATGGGAAGGGACTATCAGCATCTTGGATTGTATTGACATCAACATTGAATGCAACCTGTTGTACAAGAGAATATGATTGTTAGACCTTGCAACCCTTAAACAATGGCACGAGACTAATTGTACTGTCAAGTAGAAAATCAAGCATCCACTGATGGACAGGAAAGGAAAAGGTACTTGTATAATAGATTTGTTAATTAAACGTTCTATATTAATTGAATGGACATGAAGGTTCACTGTGATTTGTGAATGAAACCAAGCTGATTGATGGATACAGAATGTATTTTGTGCACAGTTACATGTACATAGGTATCTGTGAGCAGAGTACCAAACAGCCTTCACACAGCTGGGGTGGAGTGATGTTAAGGTGCCTTACGCATTAGAGTACAAAGCAATAATTACACCAAGTTTAAAAAAACAACAACAACAACAACAAATTTTCACCCTGGAATCCAAAACACAAGTCTTTGGGGTATTGATTCACCAATATGGCTTGTTTGTGGTTAGCATTTATGGATCAATGTTATTATCTGAGCAACTACACACTTAGTACCTCATTCATAACCCAACATTAATCCCACAACGTAACTGTAACTTGTTATCAGTTCACTGTTGTTGGGTTAAGGTAGGGGTAGGTACACATTTGCTCAGATACTGACATTGATCCACCTTGACATGCACTATAACATAAATAAAACCATGCTGCTATCAACTTAGACAGTGTAGAAGAGACACTCAGCCTCCTCATTTCGCATTTACTATTCTGCATTTCAGGTATAAAGCATTCTGCGACATTTCCTCTCCTTTTTTTTTTTCAAATTTTATTGACTATAAGCGGACTTCAACCATGTCACTGTTTCACTACTGTACCTTTCCGATGACATCAAGAGTAACTCTGGCGAATTCATCCGCCATATTCACAACAGTCTTTCCGTCAGCCATTTCATCCAATTTTTCCAGAAACAGGTTGCAGCTGTCATTAAACGAGGACATTAAATTCATCAAGTAGCGGCGATGAAATGCTGGATTCAGGAGTGCCCTCCGCTTCTGCCACACGCCATGGTCGACTTCGTTTAACACACCGCGTCCGGCTAGACGTTGACCGAACGGGTATCCAAGGTGCCCGTAAACGACAGGATTTTTCGGTAAATTGAGCGTGATGATACATTTTCGTACAAGTTCTGGATCAGATACGAACGTGAATGGTTTATGGTAGGCAAACAAAAGAACAACTGGACCGTAAATTTCGTGAAGTTTACCAGAGATCTCGTATATAGTTAGTCCTTTCGCTCTTTCACTTAAGATATAAGGCAAGTTACCGGAGAAAAAGCTGTCCCGTTTTGGTCCAGGTAGATGACAATATTTCCAATGGAGGTATGTCAAGTAAATCGAAAATAATGGAAAAATTACTGCAATCAAAGCAGCAATCGAAACAACACACCCCCAAAGAATAGCCATAAACGTCGCCATTTCAGAAACAAACTTAGCCAGGCGTCAAAATTGCTTTCCAAGCCTCCGCGGCCACTATGTCATGTCATACTTTTCTTGTTTATCTTCTTATTTGTCTATCTGTTTATTTATTGATTGATTGATTTTTTTAGCAGTGCGATGAGAGGTAAGTGGAAGGGGAAAAAAACGATAAGGAGGCGAGCTGCGCTGTTTAGATTTTGAATGCAAGTCAAATATTAATTGTAAGGAGAGAAACTCTTCTCCCTCCCACTGGGTCAGTTTAGCCCCTTACGTCATTGGCCCGCTGTCATTCCTACTCTTGCTTACTTGGGGCTAGCGTCATATTTTTTTCAGCTACCCATTATTTTTACATAAGGACAGGAGGTGTCGAAGGATTTTTTGGGGGATCACATGGTTTACAGGGGAGAGGGGGGAGGGGGGGTAATCAGTCGTCACTAAAGAATATAAAGACGAGTGTAAAGGGGACACGGTAGAAAACTGGTGACGAAACTAGCTGGTAGGGAAGAAAAGTGTCATGAGATTTTGTTTAAGCTAATTTGAACGAACAAAGTACATTTAATTGTTGTTAATTCACGTCCATGAAAAAGCCCTGAGGCGGTCAGCAACTCGGCTGTGAAATGTATACCATCTAAATAGTTTTTCGATAGTGGTATAAACACATAACCCCTATATGCTTTGCAGGGAGTCAGGGAAACATGAAAATTGCAGCTGCCAATGAGGCCAGATCATTGGATTACTACAGAGCCGTATGAGAGAGTCAGGTAACTTTTGTTGTGACTTAAGCAAAACCCTCCAAAGTGTCCCGGTTCTGACCTAAATATATAAAAGCACCTCGGACGCTAATAAGAGAGGTTGCTGCAGGTATTTCACCTGAGGTTTGATCTTAACTGCAGATTTTGGAACCTGAAGCCCAGGCCGCGCTGAGCTCGGATTGACCTGTCTTGAAATCACACATTAGGAGTAATAAGAAGAATAAAATGGAATCAGCTGAAACAAAAACGTTTTGGTCCATAATTTTACTTTTTACATTGGGTCAATGTACATATCTTACATAATGGTTGACACAAAAAAAAAATCACTGAGTTCAATTTCTCAGGATCCGTCCTTTCAGATTCTTTACATAAACGGTAGTTGTGAGGACTTTCTTGTTCACTGAACTTTTGCGGGAACAGAAAAACCCTCATGTGTGGATCAAATACTTAGGTAACGCGTGACATTTGTGTGCCACTAGGTCATATCCAATCTTCTACGGCAAAACCGCTATGATAGCAGGATTTTTTTATCTACCCAAAATCATTCATTTTGAAGGAAAGTTCCTCCTTCAACAACAATAACAGCTTCTAGTCATCAACTGTTCCATTTTATAAAGCCTTTATATTAATTAAATTTTTGGCAATTTCACCTGGTCAGCAGGTTTGCCATTGGAGACGGTTCCTTTATCTGGATCAATTTTCGGAAGTTTTGCATTAATAGGAGGCAAGCTGGAGTTGTCTTTCCTTCGCTCAGAGACAGGAACGTTGTACACGATGCGGTGAATTGTATTCGCTCGAGCTCTTCCCGCACTGTCGTTCCCTTCACTTCCGTCGCCATCACATGTTGCTTTACTTTCCCCTTTTCCTTTCTTCTTCTGATCGCCGTCCGACGGATTCAAAGCTTTCACTGCATTTTCAACTGTTGGAAGCCCAAACGTCCACGTGAAATATTCAGACTCGTGTGACAACTTTCGACGCAAAATCATTGGCACATTTTTTTGCGTGCAGTTTATATGCGGTAACGAGAACTTTTTCTCAAGCTGGATAGCTGTAGCACCTCTGTTTCCAGGATTTGTAACCTTTATTTCTTTTGCGATGTCATCAATACTTTTGTTGTCTCTCTGTCGCTGTTTTGCTTCTTTCGCCAGACTGATTTGTTCCCGTTTGATTCGAAACAATTCCTTCCGCAGTTCTCGCTCCTCAAGCTTGTAAGAGATGTACGTTTGTAATTTGGAGCGGTCCAGATCTTTCTTGAGAAGTGATAACTTTTTTTCTCCTTCGTGGCTTATTACCAAAGCTTTCTCATACACGGATTGCCTTTCTTTTCCGGAATAGTCACCAGAAGGCATTATACCAACTGGCGTATTCTGTAAAGTATAGTTCAAAACTGCTTAGTCGCTTTCAACAGGCAGAGAGTAGAACTACGCCGGTTTGACATCTCATTTACGTGTGCTTACACCTTGCATACCCGTCTTATATACTAGCCAAGTTAACTCAAACCCGTTGAGTATCTTGGAACTGTTGCTAAACAGTGTTACGATTCCATAGAGGAAGATATTTGTAAAGTACAGCTGCAAGTGCAAACGAAGCACATACACAAAATCTTTATGTTTGTGTAAATAGCTTTCCCTTGATGTTTGTACAGTTCATTACCCTTTGTTTCATTGTCTGCTTATGTTATTGTTCTGACGATTTTGGATCTTTCATCAATTGTAAGCAATTCTGGACACCATAATCTCGCTAACACGCGCCTCTTGGCTTTCAGTTCCTTTCGTTCAATCGAACATATACCACTCTGTATCGTTCACTCAATAGTTATAATTATTTACTTTTCTTGCTGAACACAATTGATTCCAGCGGCTGTATTTACTTGCTGTTTTCGTGTGCTCTATCAAGTCTAATTCAACAAAAGAAAATAACTTCTTAGTTTGAAAGCTAAATAAAGTAATTAACCAAAGAGCTTTCATTGTCTTTTTCATCTTTTATTGGAATGATATATAGTCGGTACCTTTTAGAGGATTATGTCGTCTGTTGTGTAGTAAATACTAGAAATTGAAATCGCAAGAATTCAGTTCTTATCAGTTGATTAGATTGGTGCTAAAGGTTCCTTGAAAAGTAAGTAATTTCGATCTTTCTTATTAACTGTTTTGATCTAAAACGATTCTTTCTTCATTTAGAGCCGTTAAAAACTATTTAAGATGATGGTGAACAACAACAAAACTCAGTAAAGCAGATAAAACCAGATTGGTTTTCCAGATTTTTTTTCTATTGTTCAGAATTTTTGAATAAATGATACGCTTGTTTAAACTCTAAGCTTGCATGGGCCTGAAATTCAATTGATCATAGACAAGAGAGGATAGAGAGTGAAACCAATAAATGAGTACTATAAAATACATATATTAGTAACAACTTCTTGTCTCAACGAAACCAAAAAAAAGTTTAGTTCTCAAAATTTTTTCCAACTTTGATTCGGATGTCGTTTCAATAATTTTCAGTTATACCCTCTTTTTTTAGTCATGTATCGACATAACAGAAAAAGGGACGTTATTTGATATAAAGATTTTGATATGGGTATTTCATTCTTTAATCTCGTTTTGATTCAATGAAGTATTTTTTTATGAAAGAGCTACCCCACCGTTGGACAGTGATCATGGAACGTTACACATATGTTGGTATTTCAATAAAGAACTGACTGGTACCGCTCATGGTCCATAATGCATGAGCGTACTTTAACCGAGTCAATATTTTCCTGTATTGTTTACCTTTTGCAGTTATGAGCAATTCGTGTATGTAAATTGTTTTGTGTCTTGCGGAATAGTTGACTTGTAGCTATGGTTACCGTAAGCGCTAATCGAACAAAGATGGGCAGAAGACAAAGAAAACGTGTCCTCAAAGCTTACAATGTCTCTTCTATTAATCTCATTTAATCCTTCATTAAGCCGTTTTTCATCAGTATGATACTCCTTTGGGAATCACTTATGGTTGCATCATTTGAATTCATTGGTCTGTGAGTAAACTCATCAATTTGGAAGAAGTCATCTTCAAAAACATTGGTGCAGCATTTCGGAAATTATAAAGATTCCACGAACGCTGAAAATTGACAAAGAAACTACATGTAGACCAAGAATATGTCTTTAAAATAGTCTTCTTGCACCAGTGTGCCTTTTGCATAATTTGCTTTATTTTGGCATTCTTTAAGAGGCTCTCAACAACGGAACTATAAACAAAGAAAGTTTAAAGAAGCCACAACTTAAAGAAGTCTGAGAACATCCGTGCAAATGCAACTTGAAAGTGATATCTTAAAGCAAACATGAGGTTTAATTTTATATTTTCAAGGAACTTTTGAAGAGCGCACGGAAAAATAAATCACAGAGCTGTACGAACAGTACTTAAAGATTTTGATCTCATAGCGGAAAACCACGTTATAGTTTTGCGATGGCTTCTCGAGATACAGCTTTACAGAGCTCAATTGCCTTTCTTCAAATTCAGAAAAATGCGAATTTAAAGAGATCTACCTCGATGAGTGAAGATGTGTTCCGAATTTTTCGTCAGACAGGGCGACGAATTTCTTTGATTCAGCAACAGGTGGAGAGGGAGCGATGTTCTTACTTAAAGGAGTCCTACACGGAAAAAAACCAGCTTTATAAAGAACTCGCGCATATTTTCCATTCCAAGAGAGCAATCAGGTCTCAACAAGGGACAGATGTTCTTTCCTCGACATCCGCTCCTCAAAAGAAACATTCACAAGCTAGTTTTGGGGAGAAATCAAAAGAGGCAGATCTTGGCAATGGTCACAAATGCAAGTCCGTGAAGGAACTTCGTTCGATTAATGTTAACGTATTAAAAAGATGCGAGTGTTGTCGCCGTAGGGCTTTTCGAACCATTGAGGAAAATGATGACGACGAAGATATTTTTGATGAAGAAGCTTTCCAATACGAGAGTCAGTTGCAAACGCTCGATGACAAGTCAAGCGACAAGGCGAAAACTAAAGCAGGCAGAAAGATAAGCCAGAGTTCTAGGTCTTCAAACGAAAAGAATGAACGTAAATTGGGTAAAAAGAAGACTGCACTGGTGCAGTTTAGTAGGTATGACGATATTCGAATGCCAGCTGCCACTCAGAGAGTTAAGGCAGGAATATGGGCTTTGAAAAAGCAGAATGGTGGGCCTGATGATCAGAAAAAACAAAGTAAGGCCGTGCGTTTTGGAGGAAATGATTCGACGGTGGAAAGTCCTTCAGTTCAAAGAAAGACCTCGTCTGATACTCCTGCTTCGACTGCGAGACCAACACTTAAATCCCGAGCGAGTATAAAATTGGAAAGTCAGAACAACAAAGGTGACAAACTACACCTTGATGGTAACGCATGGTCCACTCATGTACAAGACCTTCATGAGAAAAAGAACAACAATAACAATGCAATTAGCGGCTTGTCGAAGGCGTATTGCGCGTTTAAAAAGCTCCTTAACAAGATGGAGGATGAATATCAGGCAAAGCAAGTGAAAGAGGACGAAATGAGGCCTGAAAGTCGAATTGAACTACCAGGTAGTCGACCAGTTTCGAACATATCAGGGAGCGATTCAAGATGGGCCCCTTTGCGTCGAAGTTCAGACTCGCTTTCTGTTCGTTTGAACACATGGACAACGGGAAGCCTCGAGCCCACCTCCATGAACAGCTTCGAGGAAAATTGCGAGGAAGAAGTCCGGGAAGGGAAAGGCGAGAGTGTGAACATTGGGGAGGATGAGAAAGATGATGGTTCCTTACATGAAGTGTACATTATGCAACACCGTTAGCTGGTAAATGACAAAAACCACAACAGAGACTTAAATTATAACTGGATACTGGTTGAAACTTACAGGACGTGAAAGGCACTTGGCAATGCTGATCATTTAAAAAGATATCTCATTTTGAGAATTATTAAATAATTGTCTTTGGAGACTTAATTCTTTGCTAAGGAGGACTTTTATTCATAGATTTTTCAGGCCATTTTGAATGCCTATAAAAGAACTTTTCAAGCAGTAACGAATGGGTAGATTCATTCAGGAGAGAGTTAAAATATTGCAATTAATTGCTCACAATCAAAACCATTGATAACCTTCCTTATCTGGAATATCGTCAGACACAGTCATGTGTACATCTGTAGCTAAACTTGGTCTTAGTCTTATCGTACCGATAATATTGCCACCATGGTAACTACAGATCTACGTTGGTCAGAAAAAGTTCTTCTTTGACTCCAAGAGGTTATGACATTTACAAAATATTTGCATGACAATGGAGTTTTCGATGTTGGTTTTAACCTCGAGTCGTCCTCGTCACTATATGTTTCCGTATGTAAAATTAGTCTCCATCAGATATCGCCTTAAGTATAATCTTCCCTAACAGGTTCTGAATGAACCGATCCCCAATTGACATCGATTAATCGCAAAGCTCAAAACTTAACTTAAACCTCGAGATTGTGAACCACTTTCCAGGTTCCAAAAGTTCTCTCTGCTTCACGGGATTATACGAAAGATTAAAAAAAACGAGATCAAAAATTTTCTCATTCTGTTTCAGTGACATACGATCATTTACTCGGAAGAAGTCAGTCACAAAACCCAGAGGTTAATCGTGGGTGCCAGCATGACTGTTACTCTCCTGTTTCACCATGCTTACTGGAAAGTCATATGTGGTTAACCCATCCATTTCACTTTCCAAAGTTAGAAAAGACTTGACATACTCGAAAATCCAGACGAACTTGAATTATTTCTTGACCTGTTAGGCTCCCGATAATCATCTTCATTGTCATCGTTATCGTCATCTTCTATGTTCAGAGTTCTCCTGTGTAGCCTGGTTCGCCACCTCGACATGTCCTGACAACTACTTGGTCTAGGCTTTCTTCCTGCTGAACACCAACTCGCCCTTCGTCTTCTTGGGCCATCCTCCTCTGGTGCGCGCTGATAGCCAAAGGACCTATCTTGTTCTCGAGGAAAACTACTCTCTTTTCAATGATGTATGACTTAGGTCGCGCACATTCATAAGATTGCACTCTGACTGAGCAAT